ATGGAAAGTAAAACTTCATCGAAAATGTTTTCCTTTGGCAACTTGATTAAAAACAACTGTTTTAACTCATTCATGGCACTCTAGATTGAAAATTGGAAAATGAAAATTTCAGGATGATGAATGTCAATAAGTTGCAAATGGGGCGTCGTTATACTGACAATGTTATTCCCTATCAGTATAAGTGAAAATAAACCGGGTGTCCCATTCAAAATAAATTGGGAGTAAAAAAAACTTTTTAATAAAAAGCTTCTATTCAAACGCTCTGAAAAAAAGAAAGTAAAATTTTTCTTAATAATTTTAACTATCAACTTATAACCTCATTATACACAATTCATATGATCATAAAACTTTGTCGCGCAATTCACTCGTGTGAATGAACTAGTACTTATTTAATTATGTAAAATCTGCTGAGATAAAATTCTTAAAATTAAAATTTAATTAAACATTGATCATCGTGACAAGCTTTTATGATCATATAAATTGTGTATAATGCGGTTATAAGTTGATATTTAAAATTATTAAGAAAAATGTTATTTTCTTCTTCTTAGAGCGTTAGAATAAAAGCTTTTTATCAAAGAGTTTTTTTTTTACTTTTAATTCATTTTTAAATTTTTAGTTATCGCTAGCTGGAATTTTCGATTTACTCTCAACGAGCCTTTTCATTTGATACCCATATTGTAGAAGTATATTGAAAATGACCATTCTGCCATGTTGGATGGTCCGCCATAATGGATTTAGAATGACGTCACATCATTTTTCGAGTTACTCCTCTCAACGAGCCTTTTCATTTGATACTCAAATTGTAGAAGTATATTAATAATAACTATTCCGCCATCTTGGATGATCCGCCATATTGGATTCAGAATAACGTCACATTATTTCTCGAATTACTCTCAACGAGCCCTTTCATTTGATACCCATATTGTAGAAGGAGATTAAACATGATCATTCCGCCATCTTGGATGGTCCGCCATATTCGATTTAGAATGACGTCACATCATTTTTCGAGTTACTCTCAACGAGCCTTTCCATTTGATACCCATATTGTAAAAGTATATCAAAAATGGCTATTTCGCCATCTTGGATAGTCCGCCATATTGGATTTAGAATAACGTGACACGCCTTATCGTGCATTGTCATCCAAACTGAACGTGTATACAAAATTTCAGCTCAATCGGTTGAAGATTTCTACTTCAAAATTGAGTTCAAAGATTCCACTCGAACATACATACATCCATACAAACATACAATGCAAGTTAAATAAAAGCTTTCAACTTTCAAATTAATTAAAATCGAGTTCATAAGTAATTAAACGGGTTCTCAATAAATGAACGGCCCTGTGCCCTGAGAGCGGATATACAGTTCATATTATCGATGTTCATAGTCTAAAAATCGAGTTCATAAGTAATTAAACGGGTTCTCAATAAATGAACGGAAGTGAGACACACTGTATAGTGTTCACCTTGAGTCAATTCTGATCTTCATACCTCTTCATCTGGAGTGTCAGCTTCGAAATGAGATTCTAAAAAGTAAAAAAGTGTTGACTGCTAAACCAAAATGTTAATTTTTTGAGATCACTCTGTATCTTCATGCATCTGCTGTCGAAGTTGAAAAAGATAATCGGTACAGGTACGTTCCAAGTGATCCTGATTCATCTTTTTATTTTGAGTGAAGAATTATCAGGATGAAAAATATTGCTTACCTATCCTTTTTGATTTTTTTCTCAGACACATCGTATATTCAAATGACGAAAATTGGTACAGGTATATTTGAAATAATCCTCAATGATAATTTGTGATCATTTCTTTCTAGAAAAACCACAGAACTACATTTGATGATCACCTATTTGAAGACAATGATGATTCGTTTTTTCGGACACCCTGTGATTTTATGATGATGAAAATCGGTACAGATATATTTGTGGTACTGATTCAGAATCCATCATCGAGTTTCGTGGAAAAAAAACCCTAATAGTACTTTCTGGAATATGGGTCATTGAAATTTGTCGCAGTTGGCCACCATAACAGTCCAAGAATTAGATCACTCTCTCGTTGGATGGGCATTTCAAATACCTATCCAACAAAAAAAGGTTTTTTGAAATTGGTCGGATAATAACGATTTTACAGGGGTGGTAAGTCTCTAAGGTGGACACACTGTATATACAGGGTGTCCGGAAATTATGCGCAAAAAATCAAGGGGGTGATTCTGCATGAGAAAACATGAGATTTATTTCATATATACTCGGGTCCGGAAATGCCGAGGGAAATGCATAGTTTTCAAGATACAGTTTAGAAAAATTCGGTTATTTATGAATATCTCAAATATCCTTCCACCGATTCTCTCTAAATTTGGCAATGATATTCTTTGTCATGAGGGGCTGATTTAGCCATAATTGAATTGGAATTGTGAAATCCAGTGGCGTCCCGGGGGCATCCTACCGAATATTATTGTCAATAAAATGTGCGCCACTGATTTTTTCGAATTCTACATCGTCATATCCTAATGATTAACTGAGAATACACCATTTTGGTCTCCTGAATTGTTTTGCAATTTTGCTGCGTTTCCGTGGAAACAAATAAATACCAATTCATTATAAAGTGAAAAACAAAGCTTCAAAAACAGGGGTGAAATTAAATGTGTGATCCATGTCCATAGACGTAGAATAAGAATGAAGATTCATTTTCTTCAAATATTTCATATTACATGTTTGACACACTTTGTATTATCGAAAACTGCGCCTCCCTGGAGCGAGAATACATAGTTCTCTATATACAGAGTGTAGAGTGTGTCAAACATGTATCAAGAAATATTTGAAGAAAATGAATCTTCATACTTATTCTATGTCTATGGACATTGATCACGCATTTATTTTCACCCCAGTTTTTAAAGGAATTTTTTGGCACAAATTCATGCAAAGAATTGGTATTTATTTTTTCCCATGGAAATGAAGCAAATTTTCAGAACAATTCAGGAGACCAAGGAGTTGTATTTTTAGTTGGTCAATAGGTTATGAAGATAAAGAATTCAAAAAAATCAGTGGCACACATTTTATTGACAATAATATTCGGTAGGTTTCCCCTTGGGACGCCACTGGCTTTCATAATTCCGATTGAATTATCGCTATATCAGCCCCTCATGACAAGAAATATCATTGCCAAATTTCAAGGAAATCGGTGAAAGGACATTTGAGATATTCATAAAAAAACCGAACTTTTTTTAAAGTTTTTACACACTGTATGTTGAAAACTATGCATTTCCGGACCCACGTACATATGAATTGAAATTCTTATTTTATCATGTAGAATCACTCCCTCGATTTCTTGCGCCTAATTTCCGGACACCCTGTATATATCAATTTTTTTATGTTTATAATTATATCTGAGAATATTCCTTTTCAATACTATAGTAATACATTCAGATGTACTATGCTTGTTATCAATAAACACTTACCTTTTCTTCGAAAAAATGCCAGCACTCAAAAATTTCATGTCCTTCACCTTTGATATACCTACCTTCCTATTTTACATGTTATTGTGATGATACAAGCCATCAAAATATTCAAAAAAATCACTCTGACTGCGTATATTCGTGACCAGTGAAGAAATATTTGGACACTCTATAATCTCTTGAATTATTTAGATATGACTGAAAATTATTCCACGTGTTCGCGTTCTCGTATATTCTGTATCAACGAGCTTCGCGAAAAGCATGTTTCACGTTCGAATATTGCTGCGTACTGTTCCTCATCCAGAAACTTTATGTTTCTCCCGAATTCGGGACGAATAATATCGTTCATGCGCGCCATTCCAGAACAAGGACCATGCATGGATCAGGGACGGCCGGCTCTGGCTATACAGGGTGTAATTTAATTGGTAAAAGTGCACTTATCATGCGATGGGGTTTTTTTCGAAAATTTTTTTTGGTACTTACGTATTTTCGTCTGAAAAACACGAATTTCATAATGAAAATGTGAACAAACCACTATTTATCGAGATATTTCACTATAAAGTTACAAATTTCACCATCTTTTCCGCCTATCTTCTGGATCACATTTAGAACAATTTGCCCTTCTTTTTCCATCATTGGACAATTTATATATATCACACAATGTTGGACACATTTTTTTTATTATATGAGTCAACTAAAAATATGATTTTCTTGTGATTTATCCATGTTTAGTGAATAGAAGGAAGAATATCATTTGAAATAATGGCGTGTGTAATGTCATTCCAAAGCAATCTATTGACATTTGACATTCCGTATTTGGATTGCATATGGATTAAATGGCCGTCATCTGGTATGCTTGCTCACTAAATAGGAAAAACTCGCCATAAAAATCATATTTCCTGTTGAATTTTCTATCTTAAAATGTGTCAGTGAAGTACATCATGAGTATATAAAGTGTCCAATGACAAAATAATAAGAGCAAGTACCTGTAAATGCATCCAACACAAGGGGGAAAAGAAGGCAAAATTTCGAACTTTTTCTTGAAATATCTCGATAAATAGTGGTTTGTTCACATTTTCATTATGAAATTCGTGTTTTTCAGACGAAAATACGTAAGTCTCAAAAAAAACCCATCGCATGATAAGTGCACTTTTACCATTTAATTGAAGGTTGAAAATGAAGAATTATGGTTCCTTAGCTCATTTTGGAAAAAAAAGTTCATATGAACATGGGTGCCGTTGGAAAGAGAATTGAACGTTCATTTAACTTGGTTATTTGGTAATTTCTCTTCGCTGCTGCTGCTGCCATTTTTGGGGCAATTCATCTGATTTGTCCTATGCTACACATATTATTGAAATAATACTTATTTTTTCATTTCGTAGAAACAAGGAGAAAATTCCAAAAAAAAAAAAATGGAATAAATGTTATACTTCCTTGATTAACCTACAGACAGTATTTTTTCCATCCAATTCTGTTCAGTTCGCCACATTCGCAATTTCAACCATCTACCTAATTCAGAAATTTTTTTATTAAATAAATCTCTCCTTCACGAATGTACATACATCTTCTTCCCAGAATTCAGACGTTCATCTTCATATGCCTTTGTATACCCATTCCTTGAAGTTGAACTTTTCTCTTTGAATTCCAACTTATTGAAGTATCTTCTTTCTTCGAATCAAGATGGTTTTCAATATTTTTTTTTGGGTCGTTTCTTCACTTGAACAGTCTACATAATTCCTTATTCTTCTTATGCGTGGAATCTGAATTCTTTTCTAAATTCAGACTAATTAGGTCATTTCAAACATTTTTATTCAACATTCTTCAATGGAGTCAACTAGTAGATGAGACATTTGCTGTCATCTGTTAAACTGTTGTCATTTTTCATTCATTCTCATTCTGGTTTATTGAACAGTAGAAACATTGGGTTGACCACTGGTTATTTCGCATTAGGAACGAAGTAAAATAATGTCGAAGGCTAGAAAGAAATTGGAGTCCCAAGTGGCTAGCGAATCTCACGATTTGTGCTCTCCAAAATTCCCTCCAGCAGATCCATCTACAATACCATTTGAAGAGTGGTGCGACAGTGATATCAACATTGAAAAATGGGAAATCAGTAAGGTACCTACCAAAGTTACTTACAGATGAAAATATGGCAAAACTGCATTTATCATGCGATGGTTTTTTTTCGAAAATTGTTCTTGGTACTTACGTATTTTTGTCTGAAAAACACGAGTTTGATGATGGAAATGTGAATAAACTACTATATATCGAATTATTTCTAGAACAAGGAAGGAAGGAATGCTCGAAGTCATCTCCACAAGTTTGAAATTTCGCCTTCTTTTTCCCCTTTACATTTGTTGGATGCATTTACAGCTACTTGGTCTTCTTATTTTGTCATTGGACACTTAATATACTCATTATGTACTTCAATTACACATTTTTATATAAAAAAACCAACAGGAAATAATATGATTTTATGTCGAGTTTTTCATATTTAGTGAATAAGCATATCAGATGATGATGATTCCTGTTGAAGCGTATCAGAGATTTCGAATTGTTATACCCACGAGAAAAAATTTCCACTAGAATACATACGTTCCTATGGTAATTTGTCTAAAAAACCCAATTCAACTGTATAAAAATCAATGGTGTGGAATTTTCACTTATAATATCACGAGAGCTTCAATTATTTCCGGAAATTTTTTCGAGAACACGAATATTTTGAAAATTTTCTAAATATTCGTGTTCGAGAAAAAATTCCTGGAAATTATTTGAAGCTAAAGTGGTATTCGGTAAGAAAATTTACATGTTGATGGTTGTTTGTGATGAAATGTAATAACTAACGTATAGTAACAACATGTGTTTTTTGTAAATTTCGGATTTGCAAGTATACCTTCATAATATCATATGGTAAAATGTTGATAAATGATTTTTTCCGTCGACCTTGTATTAACGAGTAAATTTAATGTTCATGAAATCGTTCATTAATGACCCCTATTAATGATCAATTTGTCTATTAATGCACGATTATTTTATAGGCAACTAAACATACACCGCGAATCTGCATAACGCCTTACCAAATTTCTGACACGATTTTAATCCCTGTTTTCTAACACAAGGAATTTATTTTCTACGTTGATCATTTCGAGAAATGTCAATCGTCACTAATGTCAGTAACAAGGCTACTGGGTGATTCTCAGCAATTTCTGGATGAATGATAAATTCGCGAACCAAGTTTTCTTCATTGCAGGAGAAATGAGAAATATAGTCGACGGAACAATTTTGTAACCAACTTGTATATTAAAAGGCGATTAATGATCTCGAACATTAACGCGCTCATCAATACATTAGTTGGCTAAATAACTATTATTCATTGACTTATAGAATGAATTCGAAATAATCTGAAGTTGAATGTAAATGTCATTAAACTTTCAAACGTCAAAAAATTCCAGTGTAATTTCATGCTCCGTCCTTCAAGGAGGAGGAAAAAATTCCAAGAAATTTGCTTAGTTGCTATGGTATCGATACGAAACACAGGCTTCAAATTGATCGAAAATGTTTGGTGTGGAATTTTCATTTTTATTATTATTATTCGCAGGATAGCAATGAGAACTTATTTCGAGATCCTCAAGAAACACACTTACCACCGAGTCTCCTCGGCCTTCAATGGAAAAGACCGTGTGAAGTATTCCCAGATGTAAGTATATTCATTCGGAAAACTCCCGTTAAAGCAACTTCATTCAATCGGAAACTTCTGGAATTGAGTGCTGCTTTTAACAAGTTCCGACTAGGGCCACTTTGGACTTTGCGTTTCCCGCATACTCCAGAATATAATACCGACAGGCAAACATGTGATGGAGCTTTCCCAGAGTCACAAAATTCATCTGATGCTTTGTCTTAGAATGGAAATAGAGAAGTTGATTAATATAGTAATGAATCTAGTATATTATATAGAGTGATCCAGAAGTACGTTGACAAACTTCAAGTGAGTATATGTCCGGAAACGCTTTGTTTCCAAGATACGGGGAGTTGCAGTTTTATTTTTATCCTCGTTTTTTCTTCAAATAACTTGCGAAATATTGACCTTAATTTAAGGAAAGTTGGTAGTGTCAAGCTTGAGGAAAAATCCCATAATATGATTGATTTCACGAACCAAATATAAAATCAATTCCTAAAATCATTTTATTCAACAGTATAGATATTATTTGTTAAATTCATATTTCGCTTCCATTTCCGATATGCAGTCTCAGCTAGGCGAGTTCATTCCCTGCGGGCATTGTACTTGCTTGCTGAACTGCATTGATCAACAATAATCATAATATTCAACCTGAGGAGTAGGGAAATCAATCAGAGGGACAGTCGTACTTGCCGAGCCCAACGATGAGGTCGTGGTTTGACACCTTTCTACCCTGGTGAGTAACCCTTGTGTCAGATGGTATTTATTTCGTATGTTGTTCAGACTTTGTGGTCATTCTAGTATTTTCCTTTTGGTTCATTTAATTCAAATAAACTGTTCATTCTAATGTTTTCCCCTTTGGTTCATTTAATTCAAATAAACTGTTTTAGATTTTACGTAATTGCCTCGTTATTTCCAAGTCATGTGCATAAAACTACCCCTAAAGCTGCGCCCTAGACCAAGCACTAGTCTTCAGGTGTGACAGTATTGAGGATTATTTGAGGTGTCGAATTTGTACCTGATGTAATTATTGCTCTTACTCGTATGGGGCGCCACCTACACGTATCATTATTTTTTAGAGATTACTAACTTTTTTGAGCGTACTTCTTTCAGCACATTTTCAGTAAAAAAATTGATTTATTAATTATATCTACGTGAAAAAACTAACTTATTCACAAGTCACTATTAGCAACCGATTTCTACATATTTGGATTTGAATATTTCAAGTCGATTACCATAATATTTTGAATTCTTCACAAGAATGGTGAGGACATGAATTTCACATTCTAGTAAGTAGTTTTTGTGATTTGACGGTCAAACATTTTGCTTAAGTTTCTGTGAGTTCCAGAACATTGATTTTGAAATAATACTTCAACACCCTGTATCTTGGAAATGAAGGGTTTTCGGCCAGATACCAATTCATATTAAAACATTGTGAGGAATCACCTCCTGAAGTACTTTCGAATCACCCAACTTGCAGTTGGATTGAAAAGTTTGTATGCTGTTATAAATAATTATTATTACCAATCCCAACTAGAAAAGTTATTTTATACTTCGGCAGATCTGTCATAATTCAATTTCATAGCCATTAAAACAATTACGTTTTTGACATCTAGGGTGTTTTTTAAATTCATCTCCAAAATGTTCCCATATTATAGTCCAATAAATGAAGGAGGAAAAAAAGGCAAAGTTAACGTTAATTACGCACTATTTTCATCTTCCGGTTGGAAGTAGCTTTTGGTACCTCATTGAACATGAGACAAAGTTTGACTGGAAAACGCGTGCGATGGCGGAGAAAATGGCCCCAAAAGACCAGGAAAATAGGTTTTCAGCCAATATCTCCTAAAATATGGCAGTTAGAGATTTTCGGTTCAGATAAAAATTGAAGTTCAGTTAATTTTCGACAAAAATGGTTCCTATCATTTTTCCCGAAAATTTGCCCGGTTTCGAGAAAAACCGCACGAAACGCACCTCGAATAATGAGCTTCTGTTGTATGCCGGAGAGCACAGTCCGTGTCCACACATCGGCGGGGGGACAAATTATTCAATAACTTTGTTAAAAATGCATATTTTCTCATGATTCAAAGTCCATCTGAAAGAGGAATTCTGCTGCTATCATACCCTGCGTGGCCGCATGGTTTGTAGCAGACGACCCGAGCGCCACGTAGAGCACACACGCGGCGAACGACGGAGGAACAAAGTAATAAACTATAGCATGTACATTTAGATATACCGGTTTTTTCCCGGGATATCAAAGGTACGACTTATATACATCGATGGAAAGGTGGGAATTCCCCCGTTACACTAGTTGAGGTGTTAAAATGTTAGAAATAAAGAGCACGGAGAAAAAAACCACCGAAAAAAAAAGTGCGTTTTTTCCTTGACCGCACTTTTTCTAATTTTATTGAAAAATAGACGACTTCGTCTAAAAAAGTAATTGCACAATCGAAAAGTAGACTTTCTTAGCTTTCAAATGATGTATCATAGAAACCAATCGGATCATGTATAAATTTTTAATTGATGGTTGTTCACAAAATTTCCCCACGCTCCAAAAACAGCAAAAATTGGGATTCAATAAACAAAGATTAAATGAAAATTAAAAAAAAATAGGGTATACAAATTTCAGGGATGACAAAGGACCTTATGAGGATCCATAATCAAGAGAATTTTGAGTAAATTAGTGCAATACAAAAAAATAGGAACAAATTCCTGGCGAGGTCAAAATTGACCGGGAGCAGAAAGTTTGACCCATGTTCCGATATGGCCAAAAGAGTCAAGCGTGACTCAATTCACAGGGTATGATAGCAGCAGAATTCCTCTTTCACATGAACTTCGAATCATGAGAAAATATGCATTTTTAACAAAGTTATTGAATAATTTGTCCCCCCGCCGATGTGTAAATACACGGACTGTGCTCTCCGGCATACAACAGAAGCTCATTATTCGAGGTGCGCTTCGTGCCGTTTTTCTCGAAACCGGGCAAATTTCCGAGAAAAAAGATAAGAACCTTTTTTGTCGAAAATTAACTGAACTTCAATTTTTATCTGAACCGAAAATCTCTAACTGCCATATTTTAGGAGATATTGGCTGAAAACCTATTTTTCTGGTCTTTTGGGGCCATTTTCTCCGCCATCGCACGCGTTTTCCAGTCAAACTTTGTCTCATGTTCAATGAGGTATCAAAAGCTACTTCCAACCGGAAGATGAAAATAGTGCGTAATTAATGTTAACTTTTCCCCTTTATTTATTGGACTAATAGCTGGAATAAAAAATATCTAATAAAAATGTTTTGACTCATTGCAAACGAAAATTTATGGTCGTCTTATAAAACATCTCTGCCTATAAAATTGAATTATTTTATAGATACTTTCATGTGATTCCGGTGATATTTCTAATTTTCGTATAAATATATCAACTACGAAATAGCCACAATGCTCAAAGTGAAATGAAATGTTGAATAAATACAAAAAGCTCAGTCATTCCCACACAATTTTCATAAAATGAACAACAATGGTATATTTCGGAGAAAAACAACTACTTTCCTGGCTAATGCCACGCAGAACAAGCATCGACTCGTATATATATCGTGAAGGGCAGTCTCCAGCCAGCACTCTCAAGACCGCCGACTAAGGGTAGCCTAGCCAAACAAAAATCAAGTCGGCATTATATTTCCTTAGTGTTTTCGAGTGTTTTTCCCTTCTTTTCTCCTCAGATGGCGTTGCTCTCATATTGTCTATGGAGGACGCATCCGAAGGAATATAAAGTGCTGAAAGAAACAAGTGGACCACTGCAATTTTCGACAATTTTCAAACTGCCATAACTTTTTGAAAAATTGATGGATTTTCAATCGGAATGCAGTGTTTGGAAGATGCGATCTTTCTGTTCAAGATTCTTTGTTGAAAACTCGTCGAGAGTTTTTTTGTCTTTATACACCAAGTGATCGAAAAAACTATTACAAAAATGAGAGAATTCAAACCCTCCCGTATTTCAGGGATTATTTTTATTTTTCTATTAATCATTTTTTCCAAAAAATCTCGAAACTATTTTATAATTTTCCATATTCCTCATACAGAATGTTGAAAATCGATAATTTTTCAATTTTTGGTTTTTATCATATCATTTCTGATTTCAAAATTATGCAAGCCACATTCAACGTATTTGGCCACTCTATACGATGAAACACATCCTAGAAAATGGATTCATATTGCGTTGAAATCATCGACAACATTAACAGAAGCAGAATTAATTTTTTTGGAGAAATGTTCAGAATTTGGCGAAATCGCCTGTTCAGTATGGTGCTGTCATAACCATATGCTATGCTAAACACAAATCCTTCATTTGAATCGGTTGGTCTTCTCAGTATCGAATTGATTTCATGAATTTTCAGATAAGGCAATCCAAGGGGGAGCAAGGAGGCTTTTCTGGATTTTTCTGAACAATTCATACAATAACGATTAGGGGTGGGCGATAATGATTTTGAGATATCGATTATCGATATTTATCGATATTATCGATAAGTATCGATAATTATCGATATTATTGATAAATCGATAATTTTTCTTCAAATCATTATCGATAATTATCGATATATCGATAATTTCTCCCACCCCTAGTCGTGACAAGGGTATTTGTATGAAACTAATTTTTTATATTTGCTTTCTGGTTTTTAGGTAGGTATAATAAACGAAACTTTTTTTTGTCATGTTATTTTTCAAGAAATGAGCGATCGAATGATAAAATAAAAATATTCCATAAAGTTAGATGACTCAATTTACTTGATACTTATTATTCGTTCAACACATAACTAACCAAAAAGTTTGCCACCACAACTAATAAGGGTTGCCACGTTGCCAGATGTCAGATAGCTTCAGGCAAGTTGCTGTGCTGGAGTCCTATGTTGTTTGAACAAGGCTAATGTACATCATCAGGGTGGCGTGTCTTATTATATTTCCATTCTTACCTCAATTCTTACCAACAGGTATCTGTTTCATACAGGGTGTTCCATATAAAAAACAAAAATACCTATTTTTCAGATGCTCATTCATTTTGATAATTTTGATATCATCGGTTATATCGATAATTTCGATGATTTCGATGGGAAAAATTATCGATATATCGATAATAAGTTGGAGAAAAATTATCGATTTATCGATATTATCGATAATATCGATTAAATCGATAATATCGATAATATCGATAATATCGATAATATCGATAATATCGATAATATCGATAATATCGATATTATCGATAATATCGATAAATCGATAATTTTTCTCCAACTTTTTATCGATAATTATCGATAATTATCGATATATCGATAATTTTCCCACCCCTAATAACGATGCTATAATGGTTGTAAGATATTCCTGAGCTGACATGGAGTCAAGAAACCTATTTATCATAAGGTTTTTCATCGCGTAATCGGAATTCGATCGAAAAAGTGAATTCTAATACACACGGCACCTTTGAATTTCGAGAAAATAATTTGATAACAATTACCGATTTGTAACTTCGACTCCCTGTATTTCAGACTCTGTTTTCTCAAATTTATCTACGAATATGTCTGATAGTAGTAAAAGTGATGAAATTATGAGCAATCCACCGGAGATTTTAGAAAAAGCTCAAGCTGCCACACATAATTTGTTACCGCTAATTATCAATCTTCATCTTCTGATGTACCGAGCAGTACTACAATTATAAATAACCGATCATCACCATTAAACAATAAGGCACATTCGATTCACAATCATTGTTCAATTGTTATTGAGTATAGTATATAAGAAAGTATAGTACGTTACACTAGTTGTAAGCCCATTACGCACTCATGAATTTCGTGCGTTATGGGTTACTCACAACTCTTGTTACGTAATATACTAAACTACTCAACACTAATTTCTTCGCACACCAAAATGTCGCCCCTGTTATAATGTGAATAACTTTTTTCAGTTCAGAACAATTTGAATTTGGTTCACACTGTTCGATAACCCAGTCCTTCAGCTATAATCTGGTACTTCATTGAAACATAAGGGTATTCACATAAAATCTCTACATGGTGTTTTCCGACACTGTGCAAAATTTCGGAATATTCAAAAGGCTCTCAAATGGTGAAAAAAATGTTTTTCCCAACTTCGACAACAGAGGCATGAAGATGATCTCATTACCTCGAGATATTTCGCGAATCAACTTCCTATCTCTCTTATTTACAGAGTGATCTCAAAAAATCAACTTTTTGGTTTTGCAGCCATAACTTTTTTACACGTCAACCGATTTTGGAAATCTTAAGCTCATTTTGAAGATAAAACTTCAGATGAAGAGATCTGGATATCAGAATTGACTCAATATGACTATCAAAGATCTAGAGTTTTCTTGAAAGTGACCCAAATCTAGAACGCTCTCCGAATCTCGGTTGGGAGGAGAATTGAATGAAAATCAACTTGTTCTCGGAAAAACAATTCATTTTGGATGCGTCCATATTCTCCTCGCTCTCAGTACTCAAGAATGTGCGTGAGAAAACACAATTGAAACATGTTCTTGCAAAAACATCAGACCATTCCTCCTCTGTAATGCATGGCCCGTAACCAACGTTACAAGAATCACAGTAAGTGACTGACAAGTCAGGTTAGACGTCGTTTTCGAATCATAAACAGATTTTGATAGTTTCGATGCCGCATCTAACGCCCGACCAGTTGGAACTGATTCCCCAAATGAGGGAACAAGGGTTATCTTTCCTCCAAATCGCGGATCTGCTAAACACGACAGTCCGATCCATTCAAAGGGCTTATCTCCGACACGAATTGTTTGGTTATTAATGCCGATTCGTTCGGCACATTATTGCGACTGAAATTTTTTTTGTAATTGGCAAACTGTTTTCGTGAAACTTTCACCATTTTTGAAATGCGTTTTTACAATAAATGAACGTTGTTTGCTTGAATACTTCTCCATATTCTTAAATCGCATGTTGAAACAATCAAAATCCGTTGCTCCATTTATGATGAGCCTCAGCTGGTCGGGTTTGTCAGTCACCCATTGTGATTCTTGTAACGTTGATTACGGCGGGCCATGCATTACAGAGGAGAAATGATCTAATGTTTTTGCAAGAACATGTTTCAATTATGTTTTCTCACGCACAATTCTTGACTACAGAGAGCGAGGAAAATATGGTCGCATCCAGAATGAATTGTTTTTCCGAGAACAAGTTGATTTTCATTCAATTCTCCTCCCAACCAAGATTCGAAGGGCGTTCCAGAATTGGGTCACTTTCAAGAAAATTCAAGATCTTTGATAGCCATCTTGAGTCAATTCTGATATTTATATCTCTCCATCTGAAGTTTTATGTCCAAAATGAGCCTAAGATTTTCAAAATCGGTTGACGTGGAAAAAAGTTATGGCTGCAAAACCAAAAAGTTGATTTTTTGAGATCACTCTGTAAATAAGAGAGATAGGAAGTTGATTCGCGAAATATCTCGAGGAAATGAGATCATCTTCATGCCTCTGTTGTCAAAGTTGAGAAAAAATTTTTTTTCACCATTTGAGAGCCTTTTGAATATTCCGAAATTTCGCACAGTGTCGGAAAACACCATGTAGAGATTTTATGTGAATACCCTTATGTTTCAATGAAGTACCAGATAATAGCTGAAGGACTGGGCTATCGAACAGTGTGAACCAAATTCAAATTGTACTAAACTGAAAAAAGTTATTCACATTATAACAGGGGCGACATTTTGGTGTGCGTCGAAATTAGTGTTGAGTAGTTTATTACGTACTCCTTTCAGGCCAACTTCACAATTTTCACCGAAAACCCAGCCTACCCGGACCTGATCGCCGGCAGCAAACACATCCTCCATTCAGAATTCGTGCTCTCCTTTATCCACACCATCCAAACTCTGTGCTATCTCGGCAACACTGGGCAATTTCCTGTGGAGTACACGAGCCTCCAATTCTTTCCCACTACAACGAACCAACCGTGGAAGCCCTGGCATCACGTCTATTCCAAATGTCATGCCGGGAAGGGACAGCATCACAATCCGACAGTGAACAAGTTTGGTTTGTATACATAAAAGATCTACAGGGTTCACCATTTGACCCTTTACTTGGCAATAAAAAAATATATCTTCATCATTCTCCATAAAATACAATATGAATAATTGATTTCAGGCGCAAAAACTTAGACCTAGTTTCAAAAGTGGAATGCTGAAGATCCAGAAAATTAGAGACCAATAGCTATGGTGGGCATATTCCAGGGCCTACTCTAGGTGAGATAGAGTAGGCCCTGCATATTCTCAAGAATATTTGAAGAAATTTTGAAGATGCGTATTGTGAATTTCATAAACAAAAAGTATATTCAGGAAAGGTGAAAGAACGTACAGTCACAACTCCACCACAAAAACAATTCAATAATGATGACCAACGGCCATTGACATAAGGACATGTTTCGAAGGATTAATCCTTCATCATCAGCAAATTTTGACTTGACTGGTGTCATTCTGATGTTGTGTTTTGTCCTCAGCGTCATTATTGTCAATTATCATTTGTCGATTGTCATTTGTGATAGGTTAACCTAATTCAACTAATTCAGTCCCACATGTTGGTTCATTCTAATCTTTGCTTTATATCATACAATTTTTTGAAACTAGGATCTTAATAAAGAGCTGAATAAATACAAAAAGCTCGAAGCCATATCCACACAATGTTCATAAAATGAACAACAATGGTAGATTTCGGTAGAAAAACAACCAGGTACTTTCCTGGAAAATGCCACGCAGAACATTGAATTACATCCTCCCGAAATCTATGCATCGACTCGTATCAACGAATATTGATACAAGTGATTCTCTCCTGAATGCATATTGATTTCGTACCCAGGCCACGCTAGACACCTACAGACCAGTTTCGAGCTCTTTGACTCTCATCAGGACCGGGCAGTCTCCAGCCAGCAGTCCTACGACCGCCGACTAAGCATAGCCTAGCCAAACAAAAATCAAGTCGGCATTATATTCCCCCAGAGGAATAAACAGAATATTGGTCTTAATCTCCTAATTGAAAATGAAGTATTGAAATAAAGTATAAAGACAAATAAAGTATCTTGGCATGTGGATTGATGAAGAATTGAAATGGGACAAGCATATAGAGGTTCTGATACAAAAAATATCTCCAATCATTGGAGCTTTGCGAAGATGTCCTAAACTTGATAAAAGTTATTACCTATATGATAAATGTTTGAGGATCTTGTTCAAGAAATTATTTCAGTTGAATATCTGCACTTTATGAGAAATCACTAGAAGTTATTGTATCGCATCTTATTCGATATCTCAACAAATGATCTGTATGCGATGACAGAAAAATTTTTATTAGATGAATTATATAAAATAGACTCTCTTGAAGTTTCATACAATATCATAAATAATAATCTGAAATCCAATTTCGTTTTGATAAGAAACTCAGGAAATCAATTCCAATGGAATGACTTTCATGGGAAACTGCTGAGCAATGCCGAAAGGACTTGGCGAAGCAGATTATGAAGTTTCCATGTCCATTTAATTTCGATGAAATCCTTGTATAATTGTCATTCTTATTAACATTCTCAGGAAAGTATATAGTTCGTCTATTCTGGTTGGGTTCTTGGAAGAAAATATACGTAGACGATTTGTTACCTCTGAACGCAGAAGAAGAAATATTGTTGCCATCTCTACCCATACCCAAAGATCCTCTAGAACCGTTCCAAATCAAGAAGGCACCATCCGAAAAGCAGAGTAAACACACCAAGCTGAAAATATCAGCAGAAGTGAGCAAATCAAGGTCTACCATCGGGAATAAGAAGGTCATTGAGCTTTGGCCATTTTTATTGGCTAAGGCTCTCATGAAACTAGCTAATTTAACATGGTGTGAAGGAGAAGATTTGGTGGATTTCGACATGATTCAATGTTTTTCAGGTTGGATACCATATAAAATAAGTACCAGAGGTGAGTACCTTACAAATTATATGAAGGATGACTAAGGAAACATATTGTACAGGTATGACTACAGACGAAATTTGGGACGAGTGTATGAAATATACATCCCATTACAAATGGCAAGAGCACCAAGACCGATCTACCAGTAAGATGAAGATTAAAAGTAAAAGCAAGGTTTCTGTGAGAGACAATTTGGGGAAGACGAAAAGTGGGGACCTAGGAAACAGAGATGACCATGAGAAGTACAGCTTGGCGCTTTGCTTCAGACACAGTAACTGTTCTATGGTTGGTGGCAATACTCATCACTTGCTCATAGAACAAACAAGAAATGTGTCATTAGTGAAGCCTTCAAAGGAGGAAGATTTTCCACTATGGAAACGTTATAGATGGTTGGATTGGGCTATTGAAAATAATATTTTACCACCTAAGGAAAGCGCAACTCCTATCAAATTTCTGAAATCGGTAGATCCTTTCAAGGAAATATGCAATAGCATTTACGGAGACGATAAAACAGAAGATGAAACACCCAGTAAGTGATAATGTAATCATTCTTATCGATGATAACTGTTATTTGTCGTCTTAGGAAAACTGATTGGACCAGAAAGCAATAAAGACCTGAGTAAAAAAGGAGATGGAAGCAGACGAAGATTGGAATTCACTTCATATCCAAGCTTGACCAAATGGCTTGACTTTGAGCGAGTCTCCGGAAATATTCTTCATCTGATAGTGTACTTCAAACCTTCCAAGTATCCAGTGAAAGTGAGGATATCCGATCTGTGTTCCAAAAATATCACCAAAGAATTAAAGTATCCAGTACTAAAAGCATTAGAAGACAGCATGGTTCTAGAATGGAAAGAGATAATTCGAACACAGTCTTCGCTATTCCATAGAAACGAGCCAGTGTACATCCTCAGTGATTCTTTGTCCAGTAGGAGAGTCATCATCAACATAGCCCAAGTGGGATCCCAACAAGTTTTACAAAGTGATTCAGAAGGATATACCGAGGAAAACAATTTAGAACCTTCCGATTCAGAGTGTGGAATTTGCTTGTCGACGATCCTCGAGAGACTCAAAAAGAAGAATGCACAAACATCGGACGAAGATGAAGTTAACAAGATCCCAGTTATTCCGAATGAGTACAATTATTATCGCCTAGTAGGGCATTTGGTATTGTGCAAGTTCAAATGGAACTCTGACCATACAGATGACGTGGTACAATCCATCAGAACGTACGGGACGAGTACCATATCTCTGAACTTGGAACCAGGCAGGCATCTGTTCAGATTGTTGATCAAAACTGGTACACCGTACGTCATACAGGTAGGAAGAGATGAATATGAGTAGTAGTTTGTTCACAGTCGGCGATGATGTTTTATGATAATTAATAGTATAGATGTCGATAGATGTCGATTAGTAACCTCCGAAAGAAATGATCGGACAAAGGAAACATCAATTCGTCATCATAACAATTTTTTGAAACAACTGAATGAACCACATAATCGTACATAATGTATTTGTTATTCTTCAGTTACATGAAAAAGGACTAATCATTTTGTTCGGGGTTTACATACTATTAACGATCATAAAACAACATCGCCGAACGTAAACATATGATATTGTTAACGCAAATTGAGTATTTGTGAATAATTAGTTCAATTCCCGAAATGCCGAACATAAACGAATGATCACTTTCAATTGAAAAATTATTGACAACAATATACAACGCGACTGCGCATCGTATGTATCCACTCTACACGTTCGGCAATGACGTCTGCCCAATTTTTTTTTCAATTACAATAACTTCGACATTCGCCGAACGGGAAGTAATGATTCGAGAGCCTGTGTGTACAACTTCATCCACGTGACCCCCACCCTCTGGTCCACGTTTTTTATTCGGCGACCTTTATATCCGTGTAGTGGAAGGTGTAATTTGGGAGGTCGTCCTGGGCTCCCAGTCTACACTCAGTTCCAAAAAAAGTGACGCACTTGATATTTGACCTATCTTCTTGAAAAAAAAAAACGAATAATAGTAGGCTCATTTTGATTTTTCCTTCATTTGTTGGTAGGTAATGCATTTGTCTTTGAAAAGAATTAAAAGGTGAAAATTTTTTCAAAGCCTCGTTGATGGTGGTGGAATAACTCAAATCATGATTTATTCTTAATTTTTGACTCACCCTGTGTGTTAATTGAGTAATGGTATACATAGTGCTTACACCCTATATGAAAGAGGCTTCTTTTGCGAGCATTTTGTATTTTTATTCATTGATTTATCTCTAAAATTCTGCGAATTACAGCTTTTTTGCTGATACTTTACGCTTATCCCACAAATTAAATTTATGGAAGGATCAGAGTACTCAAAATTGATGTGGTTGTACTCTGGTAGGATCACATTGTCATTAAAAAAACAAATGCCGTTGCCATAGCAACTAATTTGTTGTATGCCTCCATATTTGACCATTTGTCGTTGTGTCATTGATTAAGTATCTTGTTTTATTGACTAAAATAACATGAAATGCCTCAAATGAATCCTGAACAATGAGCAAGATTAGTTGCGTTAGTAAACGATGGGCGTAGTAAACGTTACGCCGCTCGTGCAGTGGGAGTTCATGAAGCAACTACTCGTAGAGCAATCCGCAAGTACGAACAAACAGGAAGCACCGCTCGGAGGGTCGGTTTTGGTCGCCCCCGAAAAACTTCTCCAAGAGATGATCGCTTCTGCGGATTTTACGGAATCGATCAAATACTGCTACTGGTAAATGTTCAGCAAGATCTTCGCCAAATTCGTGATGTTGCAGTAAGTAAGCAGACGGTATGTAGACGTCTACAAGAAGTTGATTAAAAAGCTAGTTGACCTGCAAAAGGTCCCAAATTATTGCCCGAACATCGTGCTGCTAGAAGAAATTTTGTTGAAAATTATAGACAGTGGAATATTCCTGAATGGTCGAATGTCTTGTTCACGGATGAGTCAAGGTTTTGCCTCAACATGGTGGATGGAAGAAAAAGAGTGTGGAGAAGAACTGGTGAACGGTTTAATCAAAATTTAATAACAGAATGCGAAAGTTTTAATGGTGGGTCCGTTATGGTGTGGGGATGGATTTCAATGAATGGAAAGACATCCCTTCATGTTTTTCCGAGGAGGCAGTCGATGAATGCCCAAATTTACATTGACATTTTAGAGCAGTATGTCTTGCCTTATGCAGAGTTAGTGGGCAATAATTTTATATTGATGCAGGATAATGCCCGACCACACACCGCAGCAATAGTGCGAAACTGCTTAGAAGCTACTGGTATTACCACATTACAATGGCCTGCGAGAAGCCCCGATATGAATCCTATAGAACATTTGTGGGATGAATTAGGGAGGAGGGTACGTTCTCGCGAGAGGTCTCCGAGAAGTCTCGCAGAATTGGTAGATGTATTAGTGGAAGAATGGAATCGTATACCAATGGAAACGATAAGCAACTTAATTTCCAGTATGCCTCGTAGATTAGAAGTTCTTAGAATTGCTAGAGGAGGCAATACACGGTATCAAGCAGTCAGTTAAAATGTTCTTTGAAATTATTGGTATCAGTTTATTTTATTAGAAAATTGTTTCTCGATAAATTCAGAAAGTTGGTAATCTGCAAGGATTCAGCAAAAAAGCTGTAATTCGATAAAATTTCAGAGATAAATCAATGGATAAAAAACAAAATGCTCGCAAAAGAAGCCTCTTTCGTATAGGGTGTAAGTACCTTGTATACCATTACTCAATTAACACACCTATGGTGAGTCAAAAATTAAGAATAAATCATGGTTCGAGTTATTCCACCACCGTCAAGGAGGCTTCAAAAATGTTTTCAACTCTTTATTTGTTTTAAAGACAAATACATTACCTACCTAAAAATAAAAAATAAATAAAAATCGGCCTACTATTTTTTGATTTTTTTTTTTTTTAGGAAGATAAATCAAATATCAAGTGCGTCACTTTTTTTGGAACTGAGTGTATATTATTCATATTATTCATTAGCAATTTTTCAATTTGGCTAACTACAAAAGCGTATTTTTTAGTTTTTTCATAAAGACGTTTTGAAGTGTGTCGAAAACAACCGTCTCTCTGGATATAACGATCCATACGAGTACTAAGTGTAAGACACTGCCATATGTTTCTGGATATAAAAAAAGCATTGTAAAGTTATTCGAACGATTGAAGAGGAATATTTGAGATTTTGGTGGAGACACATTTTGAATTTTTGGTGAAGGAACTTCATACACCATTTTATTTGGAAGAAAACGCTCATCCTGAAGATCCTGATCAGGATAATGAAACAAAACTATCAAATTATGCTATTATCATCGGTTCTAATATGCCAACATACATAACAAGCTAATACAGAGTGGGCCGTTGAAAACGAAACAGAGGCTCTGTAGGTCGCCAAAACCGGATTATAAAAAAAATCTGAAACACGTCAACTATTTTTTCGAGGGGGACATCGTTCTAAAATATTTTCAGCCCTGCGGCGTTGCCGCTTCTAGAGAAAAGAAGCAACAACTTTGTTATTTCAAATGGAACACCATGTATTTTATTGTATTTTTAGATTCTCCCCGAAGAGCTGATTTCATCAATGTATCACACTTGGGGTCCAGCTGTAATGGTTCCAGGGATATAAAGTGTTCAAAATCGAGATTTTTCAACTTTAGCATTTTTTTGTGTCGAAACTATTCATTATTGGTCAAAACGGCTTTTATGTCCCTATCTCAACTTGTGATTTACTATCTACTAACATTTAATTGGAACAGATACAGGGTGATCAGAATTCTGAATCTTGAACCACCCTGTATTTGTTTCAAATAAATGTCAGTAGATAGTAAATCACAAGTTGAGATAGGGACATGGATGCCGTTTTGACCAATAATGAATAGTTTCGACACAAAAAAATGCTAAAGTTGAAAAATCTCGATTTTGAACACTTTATATCCCTGGAACCATCACAGCTGGACCCCAAGTGTGATACATTGATGAAATCAGCTCTTCGGGGAGAATCTAAAAATACAATAAAATACATGGTGTTCCATTTGAAATAACAAAGTTGTTGCTTCTTTTCTCTAGAAGCGGCAACGCCGCAGGGCTGAAAATATTTTAGAACGATGCCCCCCTCGAAAAAATAGTTGACGTGTTTCAGATTTTTTTTATAATCCGGTTTTGGCGACCTACAGAGCCTCTGTTTCGTTTTCAACGGCCCACTCTGTATAAGCGTGTTGATAAGCTGGGGATCAAATTGAGTGGCCAACATGAATATTTAATTTTCTCTCAAAATCACATATTCTGAAAAATAGTAGAATGGTTTGTTTCATGTTCAAAGAAAATTGATTATGTTCTATTTAATCTTGAGGACTTTTTGTTGGGGGAGAAGTAACACTGGGTGTCAGAAATCATGCACTGAGAAAATTCAAAATTGAATCGTCGGCAGTCAAATATTTGAGATTTTCACGAAGAAAGGTTCGGTGGGATTATTAGATTCATCAGTAAAAAAATCTTGTAATTATTTGTCAGAACACATTGAATATTGTTTTTGATAAGAAGTCTAGATTTGTATTCGTAGATGTCGCATCTGTTTCAACAGTTAGTGCTTTAGTTACTTATCAGAAAGACCCTCTGAAATCCACTATATAATACGCTCAGCGGCAAAGAAATGGACACCAAAAAATTTGCCGAAATTGTTCAGCCTGTCCAATTTTGGTGAAATTTCGATCAAATCACCCTTTCACCCTATATTTCTCAACGCCCTGTGGCAGAAATGTGTGGTTGAACTCATTACGGTACGGGTTAAATTTTAACATTCTTGATTCACGTCAATTTCTTATTTTCGAGAGAAGATACGAGTGTTTTGAGAAAGTATAACATTTTTCAATTCTATAACCAATAATCAGAACCTACATGCACTTATCGACTAATAACTTAAAGAATTAATATCACTAATTTCAACCTCACTTTCTGAGCACTTACTAGAAAATTGATTACAAAAAACAAACAAGAAGCAAACCTGTACTGCCGTCATAAGCACAAAGGGCCTAAGTGCAAAATTCGTCCATTATTACACATTATTCTTAGTATTCCATCCATCCACATACTCCTCTTACATTCCTAGTGGTTTATATCAACTAGGGAAAAACGGCCCATCTCTCGAAACTAAGACATAATATACTTATCTGATGATTGAAAAGTTTGATTGTACATGTACCTTTTATACTTTAGTATTCAACATTCGCGCTTTTTTGTCCTTAGTTTAACTTACACGTCTGATTTATCATTTAACCAGAATGACCATGCTGATTCAATCCCAGTTGTTTTAGTTCTACTGTTAATTATCAACTATATGCTGTGTGAAAAATAGTTATAAATATTATTGCCGCAATGGCACAGGGCGATTCTACACACAGGTATTTAGGTGGTATTCATTTGATGAGCTGTTAGATTGACATAAGGAAGGGTTTATCTGTAATTTGAAATAATTAAATCCAAAATATAATTATTTTGAATATATTATCGAAAAATATACAAACATTTAGGCTATATATGTTTTTTCCGCACCTCAATAGAAATAATAATTAGTCGCGGAAATGGAATATACGAAATGTTGTTTTGTGGAAATTGTCCTTGATGTGGAGTAAGCCCTTCGTGCTTATGTCGGCAGTGTAGTCAATAACGAGTATGCTCTCCTTAAGCATTCAACCGCCGTAGCATCAAATTGATCAAATGTCTTGAGTAGTATTGAAGAATTGGAGGGCGAATTGTAGCTCATGAATAGTCTCTGACAGGGCTGGACGAAGGCGAATGAGCCTCCTAAAATCTATATTTGAAACACTCGTATCCTCTCTCAAAAAAGAGAAATTGATGTGAATCAAGAACCGTTGTAAGAAGAAGAGACAAAAGAGGATCACCCTTTACTTCAAAAGATGATGAAACAGAAGGTTGAAGAAGGGTTCCGAATTATTATTAATAATAATTTTGAGAATCCATACTCTCTTGGAACACTTGTATCTTCCCTTGAAAAGTGACTATCGACGTGAATAAAGAATCATTATGTTCAGAAGGGATCACAATTCAATCCAAAACATAAAGAAGCTGAGTTAAATCACTCAAGTTCTCCACAGGGCGTCAAAAAACTTAGGGTGAAAGAGTAACTTTTGTATTTCTCTGTATAATGATCGAGCCATTAACTTTTCTTAGGAAATATTATCCAGGCTGACATTTCGAAACATGAATACACGAGTTGATCAAAATTTCACCAAAATCGGACAAAATTTAACACTGGTTGTCGGAACCCTGTTTTTCTCTCTCTATTACAAGCTTTGTCAGTCATATGTAACCGACGGTGACCTATGAAAAATGGTGCTTGGCAGTGATTTTCAACCGACAACAGAAGTTTCAGTTCGAGCCATGTCATGCGAAAACGACCGACGATGAATTCAAATCTCCATTAGATCTGAATTCGCGGCGCTCAAATGAACGTATGTGAATATTTTCAGGAACGTTCATTGTATAAAATGTTGAAAAACTCATGAACATATCTGAATCTGATTATTGTTGGAATGGGTTTTTTTTCACATGACATTCAATGCATATAGAAGGCATCTCTTGGCATCCTCCTCAATGCGTCCGCACTCTCTTCACCTCATTTTCAGACCTTTTTCTCGTACATATTGTTTCACGAAATTTTTGTAACAAACTGAACAATTTTTCTAGCATTCAGTGTTTTATCCTTTTGCTGTTATAGCAAATGTTCCAACCCCTGTGAGTTTATCGATAAATCAATAACTAATAGGAATATACAGGCTGACTGACAAAAAACGCCCCAAGCCATAGCGCCGCTATTTATTATCCGATTTTGAAAAACAAACAAGCAAATGAAATGATATATCAGATACTACAAGGTGGCACTAACAATTTTTTTTTAAATTTCAACTCTAACGACACCGATTGTCAATTTTTTTTTTCAAATGTTAACATATATAGAAATTTTTTTTCTGAATACAGTCATGTATAACTATATAAAAATCAATTCTCCGGCGACAAGAAATGGGTCTTTTCATTACATTGTCTATCGAGTCATTGAAGTGGCAGTAGATGTCTCAGAATCAACTATGGCCATGAGCTGTCAGTGTGACATTTGTTCCATATTTCCAAACAGCACAAGATATTCATTCTTCAAAATAAAACGGAATATGAATAATAATCAACTGAGTGACATGATACAAACGTACTTTGAATGCGGTAGAAATAGTGGTCAAGCATTTGAGAAACTACGGAGCACTCAAGAAACCTAAACGAAAGGAACGTCAGTTTGATGAGGATGTCGAATTTGAAGTTCTTCTTAGTGTAGAAGAGAACCCAAGGACTTCTACTCGTGAAATTGCTAATAACATTGGCGTTTCGCAACAATCCGTGCAAGCAATACTCAAGAAGCACAAATCCATACCATACGTGCCCCAAAAAGTACAGCACTAGTAGAAAATGATCGAGATCGAAGGGAACAATTTTGCAGGCATTTTCTGAAAGCGATGCAACAAGATCGAACGTTTTATAGAAAAATTATTTGGACCGACGAGTGTACATCAACTAATAATGGCATTTTCAATAGAAACAACCACCGCTATTGGAGCCAAGAAAATCCAAGAATTATCGTTTCAACGAATTTTCAAAATAGATTTAGTGTGAATGTGTGGTGCGGTATTTGGTGCGATAGATTGATTGGTCCATTTTTTTATAGATGGCGCACTAAATCAACAGAGATATCACCAATTATTGCATCAAAATATCGAACACTTTTTGGAGGAGTTGCCAGTTGCCGATCTGAACAGAATTTACTATTAACAAGACGGAGCCCCTGCTCATAATGCCCAAATAAATGTTGATTGGTTGAATGCTACATTTGCTGAAAGATGGATAGGGACTTATGGGCCAGTTCGATGGCCGCTAAGATCGACCGATCTCACGCCACTTGATTTTTGGTTGTGGGGGTATCTTAAAGATCGAGTTTATCTATCACGTCCAGAAAATTTAAAAACTCTGCAGCAGAACATCATTGAAGTTTGTCGTGAAATACCTCCTAATTTTATCTGGAACGCAACTCATGGTGTAATTAAAAGGTGTGAACTATGTGTTCAACAGGGCGGGGGCCAGTTTGAGCAATACTTGTAGTTTCCTAAGATATTTTGTTTTCAAATAATCATTATTTTTCTAACATTGTAATGTCTTTTTTTGCATAAGTGACGGACTCTACGTTCAATGACTCGATAGACAATTTAATGAAAAGACCCATTTCTTGTCGGCGGAGAATTGATTTTTGTCAACTAATTTTGTGCAAAAATCAACTTGTTATACATGATTGTACTCAGAAAAAAAACCTCTATCAGAAAAAAAAAATTGAAAAATATATGTTTCCATTCGAAAAAAAAAGTTTGTCAGTCAGCCTGTATATCATGCACTTTTACTGATATACATTGAAAGAAATTGCCTTGCCAGGCCGCGTCGGTCGATTTTAGCTAACATCCTTTTATGTTCTTCTATACACCAGAACGACTTTACAATGTATGAGCAGCAATATGCTGATCACTTAGATGAAAACTTCGCGTGGCCTGACGCGTTCGAACCAATGAAAATGCTTCGGCTCAGCACGAGATCAAGGTGTCGGTCAAAAATGACTGATTGTTTTTGTTTTTGTTTTTGGTGGCCGTTTTTTTTTGTTGGTAAGTATAATTATTGAACGCATCTCGCAACGCATCATTTCGTGTTAGTAGATTCTGTCGGATGCACCCCTTGCTGTAGGGTATCTCGAAGAGATCTACCCCCTGATGACCGAGGAAACATGCTTGATCAACGAAATGAGCAAAGCAATAGCAAAGAGTTTTCAAGAATTGGTAAAATCGTTCGGAAAAGGAGACTATCTAGACAAATTCCGGAACTTCCACGACTCCTACAAACCTCCTTGCGAGTTGGACAAAGAAGAATTGACAACAATTCACGAAGTTTTCTCCATAGAATTGCTAAGGCTCGTTAGTTACGATATGGGCGAAGCAGAATTGAGAGCCTTGAAAGTTTTATTGAAGCAATGGCAATTCCCACATAGAGAAAACAACTCAGGAGACACTTCTGGATTCTGTTATCAACCTGATGCCGAAGAGATGGAGTACGTCAAGATCATTCAGAAGGCGACTGTGATGATTCAGGCATTCTTCAGAGGTGTATATGAAAGGCAGATGATGAAACGTCATTCGTCATCTGACAAACACTATAAAGCCACTGTCGAATGTTTGCAACGTATCCACTCCCTTTTTTCAAGTAAAGGTGAGTACAGGGTGGCTGGAATTCGAGGCTCATCATTGGGATCTCGTAAACTGTAAGATATACAGGGTCGGTTGAATCAAGGCAAAGTTGCGCAATTGTTTACTGATCAAAATGCCACCTCAACATTTTGGAAATTCCGAATATTTTTGAAGTTATTGGGAAAAACCATCCCATAGTGGAAGGAGGAGATGGTGTGCCTACGCGCATATTATGTGACGTCATCTGGGATACCAATATCAGCTGCTAGTCACAGACAGATACCGTTGCCATGGGCGTGCGCAATGAATTCAATCATGTTCATTGAAATTTCTTTAAGTTTCTCGATCTGTTTAGAAATAATTCGATTTGTATAAACAGGTGCATATTCCTTCGATTTTACTATTTCATTGAATATGGAAATTGTGATCTTGAGGTAATTCGCAATCAAACACATATAGTCTAAGATCCGAACCTAAATCGACCTTCACCGAGCTGATAATAGAACGAAATATATTTTATCATGAATTTAGTATATTAGAAAACATATTAAAAATGGGTTGTCTAAAAAAATCCTGGGCAGACTATTTTTAATTATTTTTCGAAAAATTATTTTTAATTAAATGTTGCAACATCAGGATAATAAAAACATTGTGTCCTGACTGAAAGTATAAAACGTATAGAATGTGCAGCCGTTGGGTTGTCTACTATTTACCTGGGCGAACTACTGGGTTGTCAGGTAAACACAGGTATATCGATGCCAGTTACTTTCACTGGATTGGATAATTTAAAAAAATGTATATCATCATAAGCGCTGTTTAATTGCGAACACGTTGATATAGGGTTGTCTGCGAAAATTCCGGTCCTATTAGGGGTTTGCGAATTTTGAAGATTTTAATTTCAACGCGCGTGGAAGTGTGTGACAGAGAGATCCGAGGTAAGTATACTGTGTAATAATAAAGGACCCAACATCGCAGTCGCTTGTGATGGGACCCTGAATAGTAGAAAGTGTGCGAAGTGTGCGAAGTCAAATCCTGAAAACTATGGTTGGCATTTTGATGATTTCTTAAAACCAACAGGTTTTATCGGAGATCAAACTCCTTTGAAAATAAAAGACATTGTCGAAATGGAAGCAAATGAGGAAGAATCTAATGAATCAGACGAATTCGAGAGTCAAAATGATACTTCTGATGAATCAGATATTGAATAGAAAATATTTATTAGAATTTATTTTTCATTAATATTATTTTTGTATTTATACTGTTTTTTAATAAAATTTTAAATCGTAATACAAGATGTCTAGTCTATCTTTTTTGTTATTTCTTAATTCAAATTTTTGGCGGTCCACTTTGTTTCTATTTCCAGAAAGAGCAAAAAAATTTCAAAGTAAGTATTTGATATTTTTATTGTCTATTATAGATTATAGATATATCATTATGGTTATAACGCAATATATTAATATTATATTGTTTTTATATATTATTATTATATTAAATATATTTAATTATTATGTAATTAATTAATTATTTTTTTTTGCTACTGAAATATCAGTTGCCCCAAAATAACACGCACTGTTTACTATATGAAGGGTAGTAGAGGTACCTCTACCCTCCATAGTTTACACACCGAGCATGCGCACTTTCTACTATTCAGGGTCCCATCACAAGCGACTGCGATGTTGGGTCCTTTATTATTACACAGTATACTTACCTCGGATCTCTCTGTCACACACTTCCACGCGCGTTGAAATTAAAATCTTTAAAATTCGCAAACCCCTAATAGGACCGGAATTTTCGCAGACAACCCTATATCAACGTGTTCGCAATTAAACAGCGCTTATGATGATATAAATTTTTTTAAATTATCCAATCCAGTGAAAGTAACTGGCATCGATATACCTGTGTTTACCTGACAACCCAGTAGTTCGCCCAGGTAAATAGTAGACAACCCAACGGCTGCACATTCTATACGTTTTATACTTTCAGTCAGGACACAATCTTTTTATTATCCTGATGTTGCAACATTTAATTAAAAATAATTTTTCGAAAAATAATTAAAAATAGTCTGCCCAGGATTTTTTTAGCCAACCCATTTTTAATATGTTTTCTAATATACTAAATTCATGATAAAATATATTTCGTTCTATTATCAGCTCGGTGAGGGTCGATGTAGGTTCGGATCTTCTACTAATACGAATTATCATGCATTGCCAATCCCATCTGAATGATCCGCTACTGTGTCGATTCTGACAGATTGAAATTCAGCAGTTAACAGTTGCTTCTGCTCCGACATCGACAACAGGAGTATCAATTCTTTGAATTCATCTTCAATTATATTTGACTTGATATTCGGAAGATGTTCTGTAGGAATGGCATCTTGTTTCAAATATTTGTGATTTTTTGGAAGTGTGTAATTCAAGAACCGTACTTTCGCACTTGTTTTGGAACATTTTGCATGGAAATGTTTTGAGACTGTAATATGAATGTGATGATAATATGATAGGTGAATACTTTGGAATGAGGATATGAGGAATAAATGGTAGGTACCATAATTCGAGTTTATATTCTGTCGGCAGCAAGCTCCCACGTTTCGTTAGGTCTCATTCTCATTCTTGGAAAAGCAGAAAAATTCAATATCTGTGCCTTTTGTATGTGAGTTGGAATTTCCATAACCAGCAACGAAACAAGTAGGCATTTCGAAATTATTTCATTCAATTTTAGCACTTATATAATATCTGAAGTTCGAGACATCAATCACGAAAACAAATAATAACAATGACAGTTATATCCCAGCTGACGTCATGCGCAGAACAAGACGAGTTTGAGCTTTCTGTTGAGCACACCATCTTCTCCTTCCACTATGGGAAAAACCGAATATCCGCGACTTCGTTTTTATTTTTTTCTGACCTAATTTGGAGTGATATGTCAAAATGAATATCATATTAGCATTGTCACTTTTTCTGCTCTATCCAATGGCATCAATAGATTCATGATCCGACGTTTCGTCGTCGAGGAGCCATCATCAACTTTGTTTTCTTAAATGATCGAAATACATTTTTCGTTCCTGAAATACTCTAATTCCAATTCTGAATCAAACGACATACAAGACTTTGCAAATATCCTGAGTTTCGGACCAAAAAATCATTATCGTTGTTATTTGATGATGGTTACGAGGAAACGAAACGTCGGAACAAAAATCTGATGACGGCGTCTTGTAGAGAAGGAAAAGTGACTGCGAAATTGTGGAATTCATTTTGGTCTAACTCTCGGTCTATCTCTATTTTAGTTTTCAATAAAAAGTTATTCTCTGGGTTATTCTCCAAGTTTCTAATTCTAAGAAATGATCTTCTTATTTCAGATAAGAGATAGACCAAACTGAATATGACATTTTCATAGCCATTTTTCCTTTTCTACAAGTTGCCTTCATCAGATTTTTGATTCGACGTTTCGTTTCCTCTGTAATATCAAATAATACTGATAATGAATATTTGATCCGGAACGTGAGACAATTGGAAAGTGTTATATGTCTTTGTATTCAGAATTGGAATCTGAGTTTTTTATGAACAAAAATGTCATTATCGACCGTACAAAAAAACAAAGTTTATGATGGCTCCTCGAAGACGAAACGTCGGAACACGAACCTATTAATGTCATTGGATAGAGCAGAAAAACTGGCAATGCTAATATGGAACTCATTTTGACATATCACTTCAAATAAAGTCACAAAAAAATAAAAATGAAATCGCGGATATTCGTTTTTTTTTTCAAATATCTTCGGACACATTCGGAATTCCTAAACTGTTGAGGCAGCATTTCGATCAGCATAAAATTGCGCCATAATTTAACCGACCCTGTATCTCTTACGGTTTACGAGATCCCAATGATGAGCCTCGAATTCCAGCCTCCCTGTACTGTATGGTAGAATATTATTTACTCAAAATTTTTGAGATTTTCTCTCCTCGTATCATTAAATGAACAAAAATATTGTTCGAACGATTATCTTTTAAATCTCTGATAAGAGTCATTTTGGGGCAGATCATCTGATTAAAATAATACTGATTTTTTTTTCATACCGGGTGTAGACGAATCTATTAGACAAGTCATAACTTCTAGAATGGCACTGGGACGAAATAGCGCAGGACAAAATAGCGCGGACAAAAGAGCGCTGGACAAAATAGCGCAGGGACGAAATAGCGCAGAGACGAAATAGCGCAGGGTCATAATAGCGCAGAGACGAAATAGCGCAGAGACAAAATAGCGCAGGGTCATAATAGCGCAGGGACATAATATCGCATAGATGAAATAGCGCATCAGGACAGAATATCGCATAGAGGAAATAGCGCATTGACAAAATAGCGCAATTCAATGTAACCCAGTATATTTCTGGGTGGAGTTGTATAATCATTTATGCATCTTGACCAGTTTCAATCAAGGAGTTCATGTGATTGCTATCTGTCACTGTCAGATATAAGTAGTCAAAATGCAAAAATCACAAAAAGGTGGAGACATTCTTTTTCATGAAGGTTTCCGGTACAGAAAAGACCGAGCCAATTCTAAATCCATATCATGTATATGTACCACAGCTAGGTGTAAGGGTCGCTTGGTTTGTAGTGAAAACACTAAATCGATCAGAACTCCTCACAATCATGGTCCAAATCCCGCAGGTAAATTTAGTAAAGAGTAAAATAAAGGATCTCGCTCGAGCAACACCCCTTAAGCCAAGAAATATCATACAAAATTCTAAATGGAGTGCAGGATCTATGATTAGGTTTGTTCGTTTGTTAGAGTAAAGACTCATTCTTCAAATACAAGGTGTTTCAAAATGAGTCTATACCCTAGCAAACAAACTAACCTATCAATAGAGAAAGAAACCCAAAGTCTTTCTCTATTGATATCATTCCACTCCACTTTGAGCATGGACTACTACAGAAGATTCAAACTAACCTAATCATAGGTCTACTTTAACAATCCAACGGCATACCTAGTATTAAGTTACTTCGTTTGTAAGGGTAGTCTCCTTTTGAA